GGTACGCGGGCCTCTCACTGTTGTGGCCTCTCCCGTTGCGGAGCACAGGCTCAGCGGCCATGGCTCACGGGCCCAGCTGCTCTGCGGCATGTGGGATCTTCCCGGACCGGGGCACGAACCCGTGTCCCCTGCATCGGCAGGCGGACTCTCAACCACTGCGCCACCAGGGAAGCCCTTCATTTTTTAATATTAAAGGCTATAAAACAGATACATAATCTCAGACTCTTCATTATGCTCTTTTGTTTCTGAAAGTTAATCACATAATTGACAGGGTGGAATATATTTATCAAGTCAACTTCCATATGGCTTAATTTTCCTCACAGAAATCCATGGTTAATCATTAAGTCAGCTCTTATTATTCACTACTATTATTATTTGAGAGACTGCAGAATTTTGCTTCCAAAAGTATGTCTGAATTATAAATTACTAAGAAATACATCTCAATAAATATTGCTGAGACAATATTTTTATAAGGTGCTTATCAGCTGGGGGTGCAAGTGAAACATTTATGATAAGAATACTTCATCTGTAGAAGCCACTTAGTCAGCATTGGAGCCGCGCAGGTTACAGCACCAATATGGAATCTCGTGCTTTGTTTCTTCCCACATTTAACTCAAGTTCCTTTTCAAATGTGAGGCAACCTAGTGCATAAGAGTATTGGCTTTGAAATCAGACTTGAGTTTAAATTCCAGATCTGCCATTTAAACTTTGTACATCACTTAACTTCTCTAAGCTTTAGTTTCCTTATATGGTAAATTTGTTAATAATCACTTAATTTGGTAGATAGGATTAAATAACATGTTTGAAAATTATGCTAATTGTATTTTCCTATTGCTGCTGTAACAAAGTACCACAAACTTAGCAGCTTAAAATAACACAAATACTGGATATAACAGCAAAAGCACAGGTAACAAAAACAAAGATAAACAAATGGGACTACATCAAACGAAAAAGTTTCTGCACAGCAAAGGAAATAATCAACAAAATGAAAAAGCAGCCTACAGAATGGGAGAGAATACTTGCAAACCACATATCCTGTCCAATAAGGTGTTAATTTCCAAAATAGTTGAGGAACTCATGCAACTCACTAGCAAAAAAACAAATAACTCAATTGAAAATGGGCAAGGGACTTGAAAAGACATTTCTCCAAAGAAGACATACAAATAGCCAACAGGTGTATGAAAGGTGCTCAGCATCGCTTATCGTCAGGAAAATGCCAGTCACAACCACAGTGAGAGATCACCTCACACCTGTTAGGATGGCTCTTATCACAGAGTCAGAAAATGAAAGTGTTTGTAAGGATATAGAAAAGTTAGCCGATGTTGGTGGGAATATAAGAATTCCATAGTGGTACAGCCATTATGGAAAACAGAATGGAGGTACCTCAAAAGATTAAAAAAAGAACTACCGTATGATCGAGCAATTCCACTCCTGGGTATATATCCAAAAAAATAAAAAATAAAATAAAATCTTGAGGAGACATCTGCATTCCCATGTTCATTCACAGCAGCCAAGATATGGAAACAACCTAAGTGTGCGTTGACAGATGAATAGATAAAGAAAATGTGGTGTACACAGACACACACACACAAAATGGAATTTTTTCAGCCTTAAAAAAGAAGGAAATCCTGTTCTTTGCAACAACATGGATGAACCTCAAGGGCATTATGCTAAGTGAAATACCCTTGACACAGAAAGACAAACACTGCATGGTCTCACTTATATGTGGAATCTAAAAAAGCTGAACTCATAGAACCAGAGGGTAGAATGGTAGTTCCCAGGGCTGGAAGTTGGGGGAAATGGGGAGATTCAATTACAAGGTGAATAAATTCTGGAGATGTAATGTACGGTATGGTGACTATACTTAATAATAACATATTACGTACTGGAAATTTGCTGAAAGAGTAGATTTTAAGTGTTCTACCATAAAAAAATGCGGCAACTATGTGGTGTACATGTATAGTAAGGCATCGCCTTGTGCACCTTAAATATATACAATTTTTATTTGTCAATCATACCTCAATAAAGCCAGAAAAAAATAATAATTTATTATCTAAATCATTCTGGAGGCCAGCAGTTCAAAATGGGTCTCACTGGACTAAAGTCAAGGTGTCAGTGCTCTGAGGTCCTTAGGGAGATTCCGAGGGAGAATCCATTTTCTTGCCTTTTCCAGTTTCTGGAGGTTGCCTGCCCTCCTAGCTCACGACTTCTTTCTGTCTGCAAAGCCAGCAGTGGCGGGTCTGTCTCCTTCGTGCTGGCCGTGTCTGTGGTTCTGCCTCTTCTGCCTCCCTCTTTCCTGTCCTTGTGATCACGTGATCGCATTTCCTCCCGCCGCCCCCCCCCCCCCCCCGGGGGGTTTCCTGCCGTTCTCTCCCCC